CCTGCCCACAGGCCCCTCGCCCCCCACTCCACCCCCTTCCTGCCCCCTCCCCGGAGCCTGCCGTGCCCTTGCTCCTCCCCTTCCCCCCCAGAGCCTCCTGCACGCCACAAAACAGCTGATCGAGAGGTGCGGGGAGGGAGGAGGAGGTGCTGCCGGTGGGTGGGACGCGCTGGGAGCAGGGGGTGTGATGGGGGGCTGCTGACGTATTACTGGGGCTCTTTGGCAATGTACAACGGTAAATTCCGGCTCCTTCTCAGGCTCAGGTTGGCCACCCCTGGTCTAGCAACTCATAATACAAAAAAATCAATCCTGTTTCTGTAATTCCCAAACTGTGGCCCTTACACTAGATCAGGGGTCAGCAACCTTTAAAAAGTGGTGTGCCGAGTCTTCATTTATTCACTCTCATTTAAGGTTTCGCGTGCCAGTAATACATTTTAATGGTTTTTAGAAGGGCTCTTTCTATAAGTCTATAATATATAACTAAACTATTGTTGTATGTAAAGTAAATAAGGTTTTAAAAACGTTTAAGAAGCTTCATTTAAAATTAAATTAAAATGTAGAGCCCCCCCGGACTGGTGGCCAGGACCCAGGCAGTGTGAGTGCCACTGAAAATCAGCCCACGTGCCATAGGTTGCCTACCCCTGCACTAGATGCTGCTTCTTGTAAGTGTTCTGATCTTTGCCCTAAATCTAATGGCTGCCAAAGCTCATATACAGGGAACCCATCCCGCTACCCCTTCGCCTGGCCTACAGGGGTGGAGTGCATTCTGATTGGTTGCTTCCAAACTCTTCTCTCCTCCCTGGAGACACAGAGAGAGTGGGGACAGCCTCAGGGAGAAATGGGAAGCTGTGCTTTCAAGACAGCGACAGATGACAGGAGTGATGGTGATCTTGTGCCATCCAGATCCAACCGTCTCTGGTCCCTGTACCCTCCTACGCCTTGTTCCAGATCAATCAGGATGACACCATGGGAACCTGCTGCAACATTTTCCGGAGTTTCTTTAACTCTGTTGTGTGTCAAATTGGCTGATGTGACCCTCTTGGGTTTCAGTGATGTTGCAGCAAGTTGGCTCTATTTAGTTTGCTCTCTTGGTTAAGCAGGAGGACTGTGTACAGCACAAGGACCGTGTACAGCACAAGGACCAGCGTCTGCTACTTTGAGTCTTGGTGAGCCTCATGACAATGGTGGTTACTTTATTTAGTTTCAAACCTGAGAGTTACAAACACCAGAGTTACAAACTGACCGGTCAACCACACACCTCATTTGGAACTGGAAGTATTCCATCAGCCAGCAGCAGAGACCAAATAAATAAAGCAAATACAGTCCAATGCTGTGTTAAATGGAAACTACTACAAAATAAAGGGAAAGTTTAAAAAAGCAAGGAAACGGTTTCTGTGCTTGGTTCGTTTAAATTAAGATGGCTAAAAGCAGCATATTTCTTCTGCATAGTAAAGTTTCAAAGCTCTATTAAGTCAATGTTGAGTTGTAAATTTTTGAAAGAACAACCAGAACTTTTTGTTCAGAATTACGAACAACGTCCATTCCCGAGGGGGTCGGAACGCTGAGGTTCTGCTGTATACAGAATCTAGAAGCCATTCCCCCACCTCCTGTCAGGTTTAATAACTATAGGTGGAACCTGAGGCCTGAAATACCCATCAATACCCTTTACAATTTTGAATATCCCATCTCAGGCTACCAGGTACCTCCCACCCTTCCTTAGGAACTGGCTGCAGACCACCAAAGTCGCACGGGTGCTTACATTTTCGGCTGCTCGTATTTGTTCAGAGGACTTCGTTTCCTGAACGATAAGAGCAAAAATATGTGAGGTACAACTCCAGTGCCCTGGACTGTAGCCACACCCAGTGGGAAATATCCCACAAATGGGCTATCAGGGGCCAAGTCAGGAGCCTGCAAACTTGTTCATAGTTCAGACAACATCTTAACTGAGAGACTGGCTCATGGCCCCATTTCTCCCTCCTTGCATGCAAGTGCTCACCCCTGCCTGCCCGTCCCCATCCAAGGGCCAGGCCTCCCAAGCCAGCCTCCCCTCCCCATGCCGATGCGCATAGTCCCTGACCATGTATGCACACTCTGCCCTGCCTTCCCCATTCATGAGGATAAGGACTGGATAAGGGAGAGCTTCCAGTGACCATGTCAGAGGCACCCCAGGGCTGCCATTTCAGATTTTGGGGTGGGGTGCAACTTTAACTGTGATTCTAGGGGCTTCTTAGGCACCTGAAAACTCTAGCTTTTTTGGGGGGGGCGGGGGCAGATGACTTATAAATTAGCTGACAGGAGCACTGTATCTAATTCCTATATAAAGAAAGAAAAAATATATATAAACACCAAGTAAAGCCATATTTTAAGTTTATATGTAAATTTAGAACAATCAGGAGAGAATACAGCACGATATTCCCAATCCCAAGCCTTTAGGTACCAGTTTTGGAGCCTTAATACAAGAACTAATCACTTTAACTGGTAAATAAAATTCATGCAGAATATTTGCTCAATATCATTGTCCTTGCAACATCACATCAATCACCCTCAAGCACCCACATAATTTTTAAATTTTCATTTCTATTACCTTCTGGAAAATTATAAACAAGCAAATATATGCACTCTTAATTTGTATATCTCATTTCTCCTTAAAGAGTTATGCAGTCTAAAGTCGTTGAGTTTCCCCTCAAACATGGAATAACTAAAAAATTAGAGAACAAATTCCTTTTGGCACTAGCTTTAAAAAAGGAAAGACATAAAGCTTTTAAAGTGATAAAATTGGAAAGAAAATATTACAACAGATTGGCCAACACGGGTTTCCTATCAGCTGTAAGACACCTGAAGGGGCATTTCCAATAATGTTATCACCTTTTTTCAGTGGCAATGTGTTTTCTTTTCCTATAAAGTTACTCAGTAATTAGAAATAAAGTCTTAAACATTGTAATCTGTTTATACAATTCATTTGATATTTCTCCTGCACAAATGCAAACACACTTCCGTTCAAGGTACTCAACGTGTAAAGATTCAAAACATAAAAATGGATTTAAAAATTGAACTTGCATTTACAAACGACTGATCTAAAAGCCTTTTTTAACCACTGGAAACTGATCAGTCCTATCATGTAATATAGAAATCCTGAGTATGTATCTACAGTGACCAAACTGGATGATTCTTAACCATGCTTTAATGAAAACATAATATGACCCTATACGTCTTAAATGTTATTAAGAAAATTTGCCCTCTAAACAAGGTCATTTCATGACACACTGAAATATTAAGAAAGTTAGTAAAGAGACCTGTTCCAAGCCTGTAACAACTCTGTAGAATTAAGAGCCCTCCAGGAATTGTGCCAAAAATTAAGAAAAAAAAAAAAGTACCCAGGAGTACATAGACTAATCCAAGGAAGAAAACAGTTTTATTTTCTGATTGAGAAGCAGAGGGCTGTACAAAAACTTCCTCTGATTTCTATCAGGAGCCGAGCAACTGACTTGTTTGGGAAGCACCAACTGTTACACTGAAAATAAAACGGATCAGCTTTGTGGGAAAGATTTAAGGAGATCGGCACCGGACAAGTCTCTTCTCTCCGCCAAGGCTAGCTAGAAACTGCTCTATCCTGGCTCTCATCCTATCAGCCGGGGAACAAGGAGCTATTTACACACAAAGTGCTTTGAGTGCCCCGCTGGTCACGGGGCTGCTAGCCCTGCTGCTGGCTCCAGGGGCTGACGGGCGTAGGCAGGCCCAATTGCAGATGATTTTCCTGCAATAATTGCAGGAGAATCAGCAGCTGGGTGCTAGGTGCAGCCTGGTGGAAATCGAAGTGGGTTTCTAATCGGCGCACAGGCTCTCAGCCACCCAGCCGGAGGGGGCATTTGGGAACCTCATTAGACTCGTACAGCAAAGGGGTGGGATCCTGGGGGCAGACAGAGCCATACAAGCCCCGACTCCAGTCCCAGTGGGGCAGCCCCTTCAGGGGAGGCACAGCTCAGCAGATCCCCCCAGTTACAGAGGACACAGCTCGCCCACTCCTGGTCACGGAGCAGCCGACACAGCCGGGGAAACGTTTCCCATCACCTGGAGCCAGGGGATGAGGGGAGCTGCTGGTCCAGCTGCTCGGGGACAGCCCTGTGCCAACAGCAACTTCAAAATCTCAGCCCACAACTAAGAGCTTCGGGTTCCTCCGTCGAGAGCACGGAGCAACTGTTCACTTTCCTGTTTGCACTTCGCTGTGGTGTGGTATGAAACTCCGGGGGGGCCGGTTCCCCCTCTGCCCATCCCCAATGGCACCCTGCACCCCATTCCCTCACACCCCCAGCCAGCGGCTCCTCCAGGAGCCAGGTAGGCCAGACTGACACTCAGGACAGTGTCAGACACTGTAGACACATACTCAGTTTTGCTAAGAGAAAAAACAACCCGAACTCTCCTGCCTTTTTGGAATGGGCCCCTCTGGGCCCCTGTATCCGTCACAAAGAAGCAGGAAAGGACAAACGCCAACGTTTATAAAACCCTTTGCATCGGAGATTCCCCATCTCTTGCTCTTCCCACTCACTTGGGTCCTGGGTGCAGTTCACTGGGATCCATGTACACACTCTCGGGACGGGGTCTGAAACAACACACACAGGTCTCAGCACCCCAGCCTGCACCAAGCCGGGAGCAGGGGAGTCGCACCTATTGCTCTCCTACTTGCTGGCACCCCATGGGGCGGCATAACCCACTCCAGCAGGCACCAGGCTCCTAGCTGCCATCCTGCGGTGCCATCCCATTCTCTCTCCTGCCAGCCGAAGGGCCTCACACACGCAGGCTGCCAGCTCGGCCAAGTTAGCAGGATAAGAAGTGTGACAGAGCCCCAGGGAACTCCTGTCTCCCACCTCCCTCCCTCGGGCTCCCCTAAGCCTAGCTACGCTGGCCGAGAGGGGGCCCTCCCAGCTCAGTACTTCAGTTGACTCATAAGTAGGGTGACCAGATAGCAACTCTGAAAAAACGGAACAGGGGGTGAAGGGTAATAGGGGCCTATATAAGAAAAAGTCCCCCAAAAGGGACTGTCCCTTTAAAAACGGGACATCTGGTCACCCTACTCAGAAGGCAAATGTCACACACTGACCCTCCATATTCCCCCCACCCATCCCCTCAGACTTTTCCCCACTGCCCAGGCTCTCAGTACAGCAGATATGCGAAAGGAACGTAAAGCCTACGGAGAATTTAGTGTCTTTGCGACCCGGATCTGATCTGTAAAGCAGAAGCACATTGGCGCCGCACTGCATACAAACCCAAAAGCTTGAGTGAAGCAGTGTGGGTTGCTACACACACATGCCTGACACAAACCTAAGGAAATAATAGTTAAGCCACCTATTGAGACATGCCCTCTGCTCCTCCACCCACGAGTACATGCCGTGTCCTTGTTCTTTACACAATATGAACAATGCAAGGAAATCACGTGCACACTGTTGGATTCTAAATCACTGTGTTTACTAACTATACACAAACTTCCTGGCCTTGCAACTGCGGCTCTGTCAGGTTCTCGGGACTTCTGCAATAGAAGACAGAGAGGGCCATAGAGGGCTCCCAAATCATTAAAAGGAATCCAGCCAATTCCTATACACTACAACACACAACTTACCACTACTACAACTGCAGTACACCACAGACCATGCACTGCAACCTTAACTCTGCCCCACTTTCACCCTTTTGAACACCTCCCCTATCCTAGCTAATTTTTCCTCAACACTAGTAGTTGTGGGTGTTTGTTGTAGTTGGTTGTGTTGGGAGGAGGCAGCTTGGTCATGGCTCGTGTGGAGAAGGGTGACTAAAGTGGGGGTGATGGAAGGCTGGGATCCCCGGGGGACGGAGTGAAAGCTGTGGTACATGAGCTCTGGTGCACAGTAGTTGTGGTAAGGGTCAGGTGTGTGTCTGTGCTGGCAGAAGCCGAGGGTATGTACTGTTAGATGGCTCAACTTTTAATTGCCTTGCATTTGTGGTTTTGGTTCAGGCATGTTGCATGTGCAGTAACACGTAACTCTTTCCCGATAATACTTTTGTGTATTAATTGCCTATGTTTTTTAATGCTTATTTGAGGCTGTGATTTGGGCACGGAGAGGATGGACCCATGACAGTAAAAATACAGCTACTGTTTTCTTCCAGGAGTTGTACACAAGCGATCGTCTGCTATAGGATAAAATCTCACAGAGAGCGTAGCACCTGATGGAGAAAGTTTTATATGCACCCAGCCCACTCCATGCAGCAATCAGGCTTGTGTGTGTGTGCTCTCAGCCCAATACATCAGTCAGGTTTCTATTCATGGCATGTCAACTTTCAGTTAGCATGTGACTAGTAAACTAAAAGCAGCAATGTTAAACCATCTCCCCACTGCACCGAATCTCTCGGCCAAGTGCATTGCAAACAGACAGTTTTTAGCAAGATACCAGTCAGCAGTGAAAAGTAGGCCTGTCAAGGACAAGAGCCCAAATTTAAAGGCTTCCTACTATTCAAAATGCCTGTCTGGAGGTATTTATTGTACACTGAACACCACAGGTGCTTGGCGCTGACCTGAGATTGCAAGCTAAAGATCTCTACTACCTGCAGTCTGATTGTATGAAGTCAGTCCCTTGCCCAATGCTCTAGCAATACTCTGTGCAGAGACAACCTGCCCTTTCCATCAGCCTGTGGCAGGTTGGACTCTGCAGCCAGGGCCTGAAATCACAGTTCCTGGGAAGACAGAGGATTCTCCTTCCCCTGCTCCAGCCATACTTACTGCCATTAACACTGTCTCTGTGTGACTTACGGGACAGCAGGGGAGTTGTTAGCTTCCTTGACGGGTAGCCTTAAAAACAAAATATACTCATTAGCAAAGAGGGGCTGCACGGGGGGGTGATGCGAATTCCCAGAAATATACACCGGCGGGATGCTGTGTCACCGGCCCCTTTCCTTTCAGCCAGGCCCGGTACTGGAATGGTTAATAGGAACCCAGTGGACTTTGCCTATCGAGGGTCTTAAAGGTGCTGGCACGCCGTGGGCTCAGCGTCCAGCTCTGTCCAGTGTATGGCGGCAGGGCACATGGCATTACCAACTCCATCCTAGTGTTGATGATGCGGGACTACTGTAGCGGTCACTCACCTTTGCCCCCTAGCCGGGCGTAGGACGAAGGCTGCCGACAGGAGCAGGATGGCGAGGGCGCACACGTTGAGAAAGGCCAGTGTGGCAACAATCGCTGTAGGGGCTGCCTGGATTGGCATGCCTGGGCAGTCACACTTCTCGGACACTGCACAGACACAAGGAGTGCCCAGATAAGGACACAGACGCTGGCTCCACAGCCTGCTTAGCTGGACTTCTCACGAGCAACCCACCCCAGGTGGCACTTCTCATGGATAGGGCCCTACCAAATTCACGGCCATGAAAAACGCGTCACGGACCGTGAAAACTGGTCTTTTGTGTGTTTTTACCCTAAACTACACAGATTTCACAGGGGAGACCAGCATTTCTCAAACTGGGGGTCCTGACCCAAAAGGGAGTTGCAGGGGGGTTGCAAGGTTATTTTAGGGGGGCCACGGTATTGCCACCCTTACTTCGGCGCTGCTTTCAGAGCTGGGTGGCCGGAGAGCGGCAGCTGCTGACTGAGGGCCCAGCTCTGCAGGCAGTAGGGGTGGCGATACCAGACCAGGCCATCCTGACTTCTGTGCTGCTGCTGGCCGCGGCTCTGCCTTCAGAGCTGGCTCCTGGCCAGCAACTGCCGCTCTCCAGCTGCCCAGCTCTGAAGGCAGCGCCGCGGCCAGCAGCAGCACAAAAGTAAGGGTAGCAGTTCCACAACCGCCCCTACACTAATCTTGCAACCCCCCCACAACTCCTTTTTGAGTCAGGACCTCTACTTCTACAACACTGTGAAATTTCAGATTTAAATAGCTGAAATCATGACATTTATGATTTTAAAAATCCATGACCGTGAAATTGACCATGAATTTGGTAGGGCCCTACTCATGGAACCTCACAATACCACCCACCCCACACTCTGTGCAGCCAGCATGACCCCCGCCGTACCCAGCCCAGCATGGCACGAGAACCCCTCCCCCGCAACCCCCACCATACCCAGCCCGGCATGGCATGAGAACCCCTCCCAACCCCCAACACCTTACCCAGCTCGGCACTTCACAAGAACCGCTCCTCCTCACATAATAGACAGCCCTGCACCGCACGGTAATCCCCACTCCCATCCACTACACCGTATCCAACCTTCACTTCACCACAACCCTCCCCGCCCCCCACTCCGTACCCAGCCTGGCACCTCAAAAAAACCCTTTCCTTCCCTCCCCACTATACTCAGCCTGGTCCTCACAGACCTCTGCACCCCCACCACTGTGTCCAGCCCGACATCTCATAAGCCCCCCAACCCCAATGGTGCTCATCTAAGGGTACCGTACCCCTGGGGGTACGCAGAGGTCTTCCAGGGGGTACATTGACAGCTAGATAAGTGCCTAGTTTCACAACAGGCTACATAAACAGCACTAGTGGAGTCTGTACAGACTAAAATTTCCTACAGACACTGACTTGTTTATGCTGCTCTAGGTACACTGACATGGAAGTACAGTATTTA